CTTCGAATGATATTAGTTACACTTTAATAATTATATAGAGTATTAATAAATTATTTAAGCTATATTATTTAATTACTAGCAGAATCCGCACCTTCGCTCGCGTTAAAACTACAAAAAAAGCAAAAAAGGCAAGTTTCATAGAAACTTTCATTCCCTATTTTACTCCTTTATGGGATGTTTGAGTTGTATTATAACGTGTTTTCCCGTGGGAATTAGATAATCTCCCGCGGTAAAAGTAGCCTATGTCACTCTCCAGCTCTCCAACTATCTCCACACAAAAACTCACGCCAATCCGTCACTCTGTTTCGACGTGAAAGAAATATGTCATTCCATTTTATAATGTTGTTTGAGTTCTTTACGTGGGCATTACTCTGACTCTGTATAAAATAATAAAAAAAATATTATAAAAAAAATCTGACTGCATAAAAGCTAACTAAAAAGATGAAAACAAGTTCACGAAGGAATATATGTAGTATTATGCAGTCGGAGACATACAAGTTTCATCTTTGCCGCGAGATGTATGTACATGAGTATGTATATATGTACCTATATCTCGTATGTATTTTTTTTATTTACAGCTTGTTAGTTTTTGCCAATTAGACATTTGAAGTTATACTCGTAATTCTGTGCCTCCTGTGACAAGTGATACAAGTCAAAAATCAACATTTTACAGGAGAGCAAAAACAAGATTTAAAAAATTCTAGTTCGCGTTCTAAGTGGGCTAGATTAAACTTGAGTACCTTATTTTGTAGATAAAAACATTCACTTTCACTATGCATTTAATTTTTTCTGGTAAATATTATAATTTTAAAGTAATTATTGAAAAACGTGTGAGTTGTACCTTTTTTATTTCTAGTACATGCTGAAATTACGTGATAAATGGTACAAGTTATTCCAGGGATATATTTATTTCTAAAAGAACGATATTTTATTGTATGAATCACGTTTATTTCACATCATTCTACACTGGTTTTTATTATATTAAAGTTATTATAAAACAGAACAAATTATCTTTTACATCAACTTCCATATTAGCCATAGAGTATAGAGTATATTTCTTACACCATAAACAACCTTTTATATTTTTCCTAATAAATCAAAGACATTATTTATTTACTTTTATTATTTATTACTTTATTATTTATTACTCTCTAACACAAGTACAGTTAAATTATGTTACACCTATAAGTTGTCGTTGTGTAAATTGATATACATGAAGTAAAAAAATCTAATAACTCATTGGAATATGTTCCTAGCGCAATGTTGCTCAAACAAATGATAAATATACTACCCCAAAGATGACATTTTTTTACTTATCAGACCCCTATTTTCGTATTTTAGCTGAATTGTATCACTTTGCTAAAATCTTGGCTTTTTGAAATATGTGTTAAATAATACAACTCAAGTTATACCCCTCACTAAAATGCATATTTATTGTGTAAATAAATACAAGTTTTAGAAAAACAATCATCGTTTATTAAACTTCTTCAAAATCAATAATTTACTTACAAATAAGGCACAGTTTTATCAAAACTCTTAAGAGCGGTAAATTGAGATCTTATCACCATCATTTTAGAATACGAATGTAACTTAATTATTCTCAATGGGAACTAATATAGTTTCACAAAATTTAGATAAAAAGGCGGTGGTTTCGTGGTCAGAACTGTTCGTTCTTATTCAACGTAGTACTAGATGTTGTCTCGGCATGCATCCAGGACCAGCCTCCATGGCTGATGATGTATGCCGATGATATAGCTCGTTTATAAGAGCCGTGTAGAGCTAGAGCGTAGGGTGAACCTGTGGAAGGGTACGCTTGAGAACGGCGGTGTCAAACAAAATGTCACGAAGACCGAGTATATGGCTTGCGGGAGTCCGGACTCCAGCACCATCCACATATGGCTTGAACCAGCCGTTAAATTGAAGAAATTCAGAAAGCATCGATCACGACGTTTAAGCGTGTATAAGGGAAGCTGGAGGTCACAGGTGTGGTTTGTGATCGCAGAATACTGTCCAAGCTCAAGGAACAGATAAATTAGAGCATCATCCGACCAGTCCTTTTATACGGAGGCGAGTGCTGGGCAGCGCTATCTCAACACACTCCGGAGCTTCACGTCACAGTCAAGTTCAGTTGAAGAGCATCTTCTGAGGTGGTGTGGCCATGTCGCGCGTCACAAAATCACCATAGCTGGATGAATCTGTAAGGTTCAAATCATCATAGGGTTTTTGGAATCATTTTCATTTATTTCGTTTGTCTTATTATAATTGTTAATAACCATTTCTGTTGAATTCTCTGCAGATTTTTCTGAATTTTTGTGTTCGTGGATAGTAGGGACTGGACTTTCTATAGGTTCACTACTACTGGCAACGATCCTTTAATAAGTTCTCTTACATGATATCCATAGCCGTCTTCATTGGTATTATTATTTAGTTCTGTTCGTTCAATTTAAGCTTCAATATGGTCTTGTGAACTCATGTTCGCCATGTGACTAGTGGCTAAATCCATAATTTTAGCAATTCGAGATTTCGGAAATGATAATAAAAATGTCTGTAAGAAGGTCACCTATCTGATTCAGTTCAACAACTACTAATTGCAACTGTCCGTGTGGTGACGGATTGAGAATACTGGAAATCACCAACTCTACATTTCGAGGGTGTCGTAAAAGACGACTAACCACTTGACAGTCCACGCGCTCATTTTAATTGTTTGTGAAGGATCAAGTTCATGTAAAATCACTGCACCGAAATAGCGAAAAAATTGCATACCATCATAAAACCCAAAACCAAACCAAACCAAATCCCAAACCCACAAAAGTTAAAAGTTTATAGGTGTATCCCAGCACTTGTATCATTTAGCACGTCTTGTTCTTCATACATTTTTGATTTAGATTTGGTTTGAGTTATAGACACAATTCAAATTATATTCGTTTACACATAAATGTTTATTTGTACAGAATTAGGATTAGTAGGTACATGTTGAATTGTACCCTAATCAGTATTGAGAAAAATCTGTTCAAAGTGATATAACTCTAATAATATCAATATTCACGATAAATTTACTAAAAAATAAAATATAAAAATTAATACAATCGCACTTATACCACGAAGCACGAAAAATAGTATGTGCAGCAATTACTTATAGAGGTTACAACTTGAAATATATCTATATTCACGATATTTTTGCAAAAATTCTGCCACTTATATCACTTTGCACAAAATTATCTCTGAAACTATAGTAGATAGAAGAACGTGAGTTAGACCAAAAAAATCCTAATTTTTTTCTGATTATTTCTATGTAAAAATAAAAAAGGGGTACAACTCGACTTATATCACTTGTCACAGGAGGCACAGAATTATAATTTTTTTTATCCTAAATTACTTATAAAAGTTGTGTCATTTATCAAAATCGATTCACGCGTTTGGTTTAAATGCGTACAAAGGTACAAACCCACATACATACATGCATAGGCTGATAAACACATTACCCTCCTTTGCGTCGCGCAGTCGGGTAAAAACTGTGTGTCATTACCTACTTCTGAAATTCGCCCGAACAATTAGCAGTAGTGTAAGCAGACACTAACTATAACAAATATTATTTTTGTATCTATACGTATAGTAAAATTGTTACTAAGCTGAGCATGAGCATTAAATATTTTTTTGGAAAATCTTATTGCAAAAGACATTATTATCGATACAGAGACCGAATCTATAGTTTTTAGAGTTTTTGTCTATCTGTCTGTCTGTCTGTGACCGCATTACTGAAAAATCACTGGAGAGATTTTGATGAAATTTGGTATGATGATAGCTGGTTATCGGGGTAAACATATACGATACTTTTTACTGCGGGAAAATCTCATCTCTGAGAAATCTATACTAAACGTCAAAACGTAAGTAGGGACGAATCCGAATGGAGCCCTTGTGAGTCGCTACTTTGTTAATAAATCTGTAATTTAATGTACATAATAGGTACATCTAGATAAATAGAAAAATAAAATAATAAGGAAAATTGAGTAGGTGCCAGTATCTAGGGTGGATGTATGTGTAGATAGGCGTTGTTCTTTACCAGCGCGGAGTTTATGATACTATCGTGAGTAAAGGCATTAAAACTTTTCCAATGACTCATTCTATCTACTTAGAAAAACAAAATTATTTTTATTTAGTGTTCACTAAAGATCATATAAAGAAAATCATAATAATGGAAGAAAAGGTATAATACAGATACTCATGGGCGGTGGCAGAATTTTTTTCCAGGGGGTGCATCTACTTCTTCACATTAAACTACTAACTAATCTTTAAATGATTAACTTTATAATTTTTATTCATACGTTGTTTATCGTCTTTTAGCTTTGAAGATATCTAAATTTAGACAGCGATTTAAGATTTTACTCATATAATTTTATTTCTTTAACTTTTTCTATATATTTTCTTTCATACCAGTGGGTGCAAGTGCACCCTCTTGCACCCAACTCCCGGCGCTCATGCAGTTACTATAATATACAGATGCAGATGGATGAAGAGATGAAGTATGGTGAATTTATGTAAGAAAAAATATTTTATTGATTGATTTGTATTTTAATTAGTTTTAATATAATAAATAAAACACATTTCTTGTCACTAGTGTATTGTCTATAATTTAATTAGTCTTAAGTAAAGATACTTTTTATCTTGTCATCGCATTGCGATGCTCTTTACAAAATCAAATCTGATAATAATTAATCAAGTTTATTTAAAACGTATAGAGATATATAAGTTTGTAAATTTCAATACAAGTTGTGGTATGTCCCGTAGTGTTATTTTATATATATAGATAAATAATTTATTACACTTTCATTTACAATTAGATATCTTACTAATATTTTTTGTTTTTCATATTTTTTTTAAATAATTAATAGAGAGATCTATAATAATTAGTGGTTATAGCATTTAAACAATCCTTTGATATCAGAAAATGCATATTTTCTTGAGAGTAAAATACACAATGTCGTCGTAGCAATATCTCCTCATCTGTTGTTCGTCACTGTCTGATCCTTGGGAAGCAGAAAACTAAGTCCTGCGCAGACTGAAAGAAAAACAAAAATTTAAAAACCCCTTATAATATTTTGCTTCTAATATTATGAGTATTGATGTGAAAGTTTGTGAAGATGGTTAGATAAATAATTTCCTTAGGTCGTCTCAGCCCTAACACGTCCACTACTGGACATAGGCCTCCCCCAAAGATTTCCACGACAACCGGTCTTGCGCCATCCGCATCCAGTGGACTCCCGCGACTTTGACCAAGTCATCGGTTCACCTTGTGGGCGGCCTGCCCACGCTTCGCCTTCCGGTACGTGGCCGCCACTCCAGAACTTTCCGTCCCCAACGATCGTCCGTTCTACGAGCGACGTGCCCCGCCCACTGCCACTTGAGCCTGGATACTCTGAGGGCTATATCGGTGACCTTGGTCCTTCTGCGTATCTCCTCATTTCTAATTCGATCTCGCAGGGAAACCCCGAGCATAGCCCTTTCCATTGCTCTCTGTGTGGCCTTGAGCTTTCTTATGAGGCTCATCGTGAGCGGTCACGTCTCTGTGCCGTATGTCATTACTGGCAACACACACTGGTCGAAGACTTTTGTCTTGAGACACTGCGGTATTCGGGACAAGAGGATGCTGCGTAGTTTCCCGAAGGCTGCCCATCCGAGTTGGATCCGTCGATTGACCTCTTTCTCGAAGTTGGACCTACCTAGCTCGACAGTTTGTCCCAGGTATACATACACGTCTACAACTTCGAGCATAGAGTCACCGATATAAACTGGAGTGGTTGCAACATGGACATTTGACATAATTTTCGTCTTATCCATGTTTATTTTTAGACCAACTCGTTCGGAGACACTATTGAGGTCGTTGAGCATTATACTGATGTCCTCCATGGTCTCAGCCATAACCACTATATCGTCGACAAACCGAAGGTGAATGATGTACTCGCCGTTAATGTTGATGCCCATTCCGTTCCATTTCAGGATCTTAAAGACATTTTCCAATGCAGCGGTAAACAATTTCGGCGAGATGTCATCCCCTGTCGTACTCCTCGCTGCAATTGGATGGGTCTCGAGTCCCGCTCCTGGAGACGGACTGACATAGTGGCGTTTTCATACAAATACTTCAACACTTCGGTATACTAGTGGTCGATTTGTCACCGCTGGAGAGACTGCAGCACAGCCCAAGTCTCGATCGAATCAAAGGCTTTTTCGTAGTCCACAAACGCCAAACAAAGAGGCAAGTTATACTCTTCGGTCTTCTGTATAACCTACAGTGAAGTGGGTTTTGGAGCTATGCATGGCTCTACTAATGTCCTCATACATAGACTCCATCTCCTCGTCAGGGTGTATCGAGGTTGGGGCATACACTTGAACTACTTTTAAGGAATAACGTTTCGTTATTCGCAGAACAAGGTACGCCACCTTGATCGACACGCTCTCGATAGTAACCACGTTGTTCACGAGAGACTTGTGGACGATAAACCCGACACCACCCTGGGACTGTTGGTCGCCTTCCCGGAAATAGAGCAGGTTACCAGATTTGAGCGTTATCGAGTTCTCCCCCTCTCTTCGAACCTCCGATAACCCCACAATATCCCATCGTAATCTGCTCAATTCTTCCTCAAGTTCGGCAATCCTCTCGTCGGTCCGCAGTGTGCGCGTGTTTAGTGTTGCCAGGTCGAGTCGTCGTTTGTGGTAGCCCGATCTCATCCAGAGATTCTTCGCACCCCCTGCCCCACCGTTACCTAGGCCGCTACCATGACCAAGAATAGTGGAGCTGCCGGGTACTGGGGGCCGGTTTTCTACGTTAGCCATTCTGGGGGGAATTTGCCATAATCGCCACGCTTGGCAGGCGAGTTGGCGATCGCAGTTACTAGCGCGTGCCCTCGGAAAATGCTGCTGCCCATCCTTCGGTATTTATACCTTAGTCGCCTTTTACGACACCCTCGGCTAGAAAATGGGTGGTGCTATTCTATGCCGGACACCACGCGGCGCTTTCCTTAGGTAAATAGAACAATTTTTATCTTAGCAATTACATTTTAAAACTTCTTATTAATTTCATCATTGGCGGTTAGAATAATGATTTAAGTATTTTTTATAAAATAAACAAACATTACTTACAAAAGAGAAGAGCCGCAAAGATAAAGAAGGTAAGTGTGCATGCTTGAGCGAGGAACATCCCTGAAACATTAGCGCCTACCACTGAGCCGACTCGTCCAAACATCATCACTGCGCCTACTGCAGTACCCCTGAACAAAATTTAATATTATTCAAAATTCAATATTTTAAAAAATACTCTAAGTTACGGAAAACGAAAAAATGCAGTCGTTGTTTAAATTTGCGTAATTTTACTGATTAATTATTATTAAAAATCAACAATTAGATAATAGGTTTACAGTGCATATTGCACATTTACAGATGGCGATTTTACTTTTGTTGGCAGTTTACTTTTTTAATCTTTGTTTATACTACATATTATCATGTCCATGCACATTTTAATCTATGCACCACAGGGGTGAAGTGTCATTAGTCCGTTCAGTTTTAGCGTAGAGCCAATTTTTTTATTTAGTTATTGAGTCTTTCTGTTAAAGGAAAGTCCCAGTAATAGCTCGGAGTTGGGAAGTTAGTGCTTCACCTCCTACGCCTAGTCCTACGCCTGACCTCTCAACGTAAGTGTCGAATTATCGTCCCATTGGAATTTGAGAGGAACAGGAGAGAATGCACGTTATGTCTGCACGAACACAGATATCTCTGCGCAGTGTGCTGGCCGAATTCGGATGTAAATTAATTTATTATGTTAAAATATTATTATTTTTTAATACGCACAGATTAAAAAGTGTAACTTATAAAAATGAAAATATTAAACTTTACTATAACACTACACTAGATATTACACATTCGCAGGAATTTGTTTATGATTTATATTACGTAGTCAGAAAGTGCGATGGAGGAAGATTAACTTTATCATGTTTGGAGTCTGGGCTTTTCCTCTAAACTGCGTAAATAAGTCTTATTTAGACTTAAAATGCTCACTTTATTATCTATACATTTATTAAAACTCTAACGGAGTCGAATCTGTACATCAAATATTTTTTTGGAAAATCTTATTCAAATAGTCATTATTATCATACAGAGGCCGAATCTATAGTTTTAGATTTTTTGTCTGTCTGTCTAAGAACGCATAGCGAGAATACCACTAGACAGATTTAGATAAAATTTAGTATGATTTAATCAGCCCTTTTTAACGTCCCACTGCTGGGCACGGGCCTCCTCAGTACGAGGGGGATCAGGCCATAGTCCACCACGCTGGCCAAGTGCGGGTTGGTGGACTTCACATGTCTTTCGAAAACTTGCTAGGTTTTCTCAGACATGCAGGTTTCCTCACGATGTTTTCCTTCACCGTAAGGCAAGTGGTAATCATGTTATAAATGATTCGCACATGAAATTATCACAGGTGCGAGTACCGGGATTTGAACCCGCTTCACTCGGTTTCCCAAGCGAGCGCGTTACCACTGGGCTACCAATGCCTATTTTATGCTTATTTTTTATTTGCCTAAATTTAGTATGATGATAGCTAGTTATCCGGGTCAACATATAGGATACTTTTTATTGCGAGAAAATATGTCATTTTTTACTAGGGACGTACCGGTCGCTTAATTTCAAAGTAAAATAACTAAACTAAAACAGTTTCGTGTTTAAAATATATTTTGCAAGTGTATTTTATTTTATAATAACATTTATTTTATATTTTATTTTATAATAAAAAAATATTAATTTTAACAGTATCTGACATTTAAAAGTGTAGAATTTTTTGATAGCAACTAAAAAAGATACAAGTGAATGACGCAAATAACTTGTTTTTATTTCAAACCGTATGTTTTCATTACGGAAGTAGGCGATACATAATGCTTTTTACACTATAGTATAGTATAGTATAGTATATATATATATATATATATATATATATATATATATATATATATATATATATATATAAATCCAAAAGTTATGAGTATATTCGACTATGTTCGTTTCTCCTTCACGCTGAAACGGATGACCAGTATATATAAGTTACTTTATGCGGATGACTTTGGATAAAATTTATTATTTGGCTATTAATTACTGATGGCAGGTTTGGCTCAGTTTACTGACTGAGCCAAACGTGTCGTCATTATGTAGTCGTTTAAGAACATTGGGAATTGTATTTGTTGCTTGATGGTTCCCATATTTCTAACTTCGGCCCTTCTTCTCATTATTTATATGTACGGAAATCGTATCTGCGATTTCGCGTTATCGGAATCTCTATACCGACATTTTCATTTTAAACAATTAAGTTCAATGTATTTCAAACTGATAAGATATATATAAAATATGTAACATTTCTAAAATTTTATATAATAGGTAATAATAATGTATCTTCTCAGTATAAATCAAGTAACTAGTTTTAGATGCGTGATAAAATTTAATTGTAGGTACGTGTCTGCTTTGAAGAATATGTGATTAATTTCTGAATCATTTTATTTATTATCTTAACGGATTTCACGTAAGATATAATTTTTTTTCAACCTTAATTGAAGCCCTTTTGTGATTTTTTTGGTATGTATGAATATTCAAAAACAAGTATTGTCGATCGAAGGATATTAGGGTGAAAAAGTACGATTTTTCGGTCTATAAATAATATTATAATCCGTTAGACACGAAATTGTCCATATAATCACGTAGAGTTTTATACACGTATTGAATAGTAATAAAAGTATTATTAAATTAGATAGTAGTCCACGTGGAAAAAACTAACAAGGCAACAGCCTTTAGTCTTGTTTTATTATATTAGTGTTGTTGGCAAGGTAACATGATATCATAACAAAAAGACTCATATTTTTTATTATATTTTTGATAAATATAGAGCTATGAATTATGATAAAACTTTATATAATAATAAAAGCAAGTAGGAAAAGTGATCGTTGTTTAAATTCTATTCCGTCTACCCATTTAATAGCTAGCATGTACGGACTGTTAAGAGGTTCTGCCCTCGAATTCCGAGTCAGGCAGTTATTGAGATTTTCTTTATATTAAATACTCAGAATATATCATTCTCTTAATAAAATATTCATTAATCTTTATTGTACTTACCTGAGGTTGGTAGGGAACAGCTCTACAGTGTAGGCAGTTAGAGGTCCGATACCCAGGGCGGTTATTTGTAGAGCTGACATTGACACTCCCGCGACTATCCTAAAAACGTATAAATAATATGATGAAGGATCCAAATACATTAAATAACTCATAATATATAGTATAAAATTGCTTCAGTCAACTTAAATAATTATCGCTATATTATGAACCCCCGAGGATGCTTGTTGGTTTATCCTTTTTCTCGTAGATCAATCGACTAACATGGTTTTATTCATACTTATAAATAACAAAGTGATCGCAGAGTCGCTTGTGCCTCTATTTATCTCGCACATCAAGAGATCCTCTGGCATATTGGTGTATTTAATATTAATGTTGTGACATAAAATGGTGCAGTTCATATCTAAGCTCTACGACGATTATTATAGCTAATGGGCTGTGCCCATTACGATTTACGATAATTTTCTGTTAAGATTGTCTTATATTTATGGAAGGAATTTCTAAACTAACAATAGCTCAATATATATCAATTACCTTTTGTGTGGTCAAAAATATAGAGAAAACATAAGAACACTCTAAATATAACTTAATTACAAAATTACCTATTAGATGTCATAGCAGAGGTCAAGCAAGTTCCTGCTACAAGAGCATACATGCCTATTAATAAAGTTTTCTTATTGGTGGGACTTAGGCTGATTAGCATCACTAGAGTTCCATATATGAGAGAAGCGATGACTGTGATCTGGAAAGTTCCGTAGGATATGCTGTCCACACATGTTGCTGATTCGGTCTGTAGAAGGTGAAAATATCTAATCTTAGTTTTTTAATTATTTATTATAAGAAGTCAAAGGTGAAGAAAATCATAAATAATAATAATAATAGCCTTTTTATTTCCTATAAGCCTTATAAAATATTTACAATATGTATATATATATATATATATATATATATATATATATATATATATATATATTAAACTAATATAAGTTTTTTGTGTTAGTAATAAGAATAACTTATAAATATAGTTCATATTTTTTCCTATCCTGCGTTTTTGCTTTCTGTACTTAGTTGTGATATCATATTTTCTAGCTTCTGCTGGGTTTCGGCAAGGACTGCTGTTAATTGGGATGTCGTCGGATACTCAGTTCAATTTGGAGAATACGCACTGCAGGACCGCAATAAACAGTTTTGGCGAAAGTGGGTCTCCCTGCCTAACGCCTCGAGCTATTCTAATCTCTTCGCCTCGAGTTTCCAGTTTGACTCTGCTCACACTATTCTCATAGGTGCTTTTAATGGTTCTAATAATTATTGGGTCTATGTTACAGTTATGTAGAACTTGCCAGATAGAGTTATAAAACACCCTATCAAATGCTTTTGTATAATCGATAAAGCCATCGATTTGTTCTAGCGTATGGATGTAGTCAAAAGTCGAAAATCCCGAGCGTAAACCCGCTTGATCTACCGGTTGCATACTGTCTATTTGAGGGCTAATTTTGTCACATATCATCTATACAGATAAATAAAATTGAAGTGTATGTTTGTAATGTCAAAATTTTTTACTAAATGCATATGAAATTATATACGGTACTTATATACGGTACTTATAAGAAAAACACTTTTTTTTTGTTCGTCTGTCTATTTTTTCCGGATAATCTCTGAAACGGCTGGATTTGACGAGACTTTCACTGGAAGAAAGCCGATGTTATAGGGAGTACCATAGGCTACTTTTATTTTAGCAAAAAAATAGAACGTACCTAAGGACGAACCCGAAAGAAGCGAGGGTAAGTCGCTAGTAAATAATAATATAATAATTATTTCAATAACGTTATTAATAAGTAACATTTTGTAGTTCATTATTGATTACAAAAGTTGTAGGGCATTAAACTCTGCAAAAGTAAAAAAAATATATCTTTTATACGATCAACCTTTCTTGAGATAGAGTGCAAAGCGCAGGAAGCCCTTGAAAAAGATTTTTTCTTGTGGCATGATATTTTTAAAGATTTTTTTTAGTTTATCTTAAAAAGGAATGAAAAAGTGACAATTCATTCGCTTTGACACTTTGTAACTTTTAACTTAATATATTTTGATTTGCTATAATATTTTTAGATATAAAAATATGATATAATACATATTATAATTTTCTTTTCTTTTTCACTATCAAAAAAATGTGAATATTTTAACTTTTATATTAAAATTTTGTTAGTAATATTTTACAAAAGGCAGTAAAACTTTTATATTGGGACATACTTGATTTTCAGGCAGATTCATCAGCATGCAAATAGTGACAGGTTCGTCTGGAGACATCATCACTTTGTTGATTGTATTAGGAGCAAACAAAAACAGGCCATTCAATCTGAAAGCGATTTCATTATTATTTGCCATATACTTATTATATTTAATTTTAGTAGGTTTTATTTGAGAAAGAGGAAAGAAGAAATTATAAAAAAGATACATGAAAAAATATCAAAATGAATGAAATCAAGTATAAAGTCGATTTTCTAGTGCAATAAGTACTTTTTAGTAATTATTAAAAAAACATAATTACTTTTTAACTAAAAATCATACCCACTCTAACTTCATAACGGTTAGCGGTTTTATTATTAGAGGTGGATTTTTTCTTCAAATTTATATAGTGTCCCCTATACTATTGGATTATAAATCTATTCATTAAGGATATATATTATTCAAAAAGATGTTTTATTAAATTAGGCTGGTAGTTCTAAAGATCAAGGTGCTTAAATTTAAAAACAATCATCTATAATATTACTAATACTTTATTATAATATATATAGTATAAGTGAAGTTATTGTTTTAGTTGGTACCTAATAATACCTACCTATGGTATCGTATGAGTATAAAATTATTAAAAATAAATAAAACAAATACTAAATAATAATTGAATAATCCATCCAAAATAAGTTCGTTTAAAATAAATATTTGATTGAACTGTTATTTATCTGCCGCGGTATATGTTCAATGTTATGCTACTAACAGTATTAAAATTTTATTACACCCATATGTATGCATTCTAAATACGAGTAATTCAGGTAATGTGGCTTCTTTATATAAAATATTCACGATATTATGATGAAATATAAACGTTTATTGAAGATGACAGCTATAAATACAATGTATAAGAAAAATATAAACATTGTAAGTGCCTAGTTATGGTTACACCTCGTCCATCCGTTCTAGATTAAGATTTACTTAGAATAAGAGAGACGCAAACTTAGCGTCTGGTCGGCCCACCCGGCATCCGCCGGCCGAGTATGATTTCAGACATTAAAGGAGCCTCAAATCGGCTACATGTCTCACATTTAGTTTTATTTTTTTTCTCAAATTAATTTTAAATTAGTATAAATAGTTTTCAAAACGCTCCGAATCCAAAAGTGGCGCAGCCGGTAGGATTTTCTTATAGACTCTTATAGAGTCGTAGAGATCCGCCGAACCAAATAAATATTCTTTTGTGTTGCGGGAAGCAGAGAAAACCGAATATGGGAGTAGCGGTCATGTGGTGAGTCAAACTTTTTGCCAATCCTTGTTAATAATAATAATATTCTTTATTGTACACCAAAATAAATATAAAATAAAAAAACAATACAAAGAAAAGATGCACAGCAGGCGGCCTTATCGCTGGAAGCGATCTCTTCCAGGCAACCTTGAGGTGGAGGAGTAAATGTTCATAAAAACGGTAGGCGGTGTACTTGCTTTAACACGTTTACTATATATAAATACTTATAGATAAATAGATAGATACATACATACATACATACATACATACATACATACATACATATATACATACATACATTCATACATACTTATATGCGTTAAATTTACACACGCACATAAAAAAGAAAAAAGCAATCAAATAATAAATAGGATTAGATACTAGAACATAATAGAGGAAATAATAATAACGATGATATTAGGAGAAAAGACTAAGGGAAAGACTTAAAGAGACATATAATAATCTTTTCATAACTTTTTAAATTTATCTAAGCTTTTAGCAGATCTAATGCTTAAAGGAATAGAATTCCACAATCGAGCAGCTTTTACTGTAAAAGAATTTGTGAAGAAACAGGAAGAGTGAGTAGGAATTTTAAGAAGGAAATTTTGAGCAGAGCAAAGTGAACGAGCATGGGAATCATCCAGAAACTCAAAACGCTCTTTCAGATAAATAGGAGTTGAAGGGTTAAACAGCACGCAGTAGAGAAGATGAAGAATATGAGTATTCCTGCGGAATCGGATTGGGAGCCACTTGAGCTTTTTACGAAATTGAGAAACATGGTCATATTTTCTAAGGCCGAAAATAAACCGTATACAAAGATTTTGGAGTCGCTCAAGTTTATTCAAGTGCTCCTCTTTGATGTCGAGATAACAAATGTCAGCATAATCAAGAATCGGTAGTAGTAGTGAATTTGCTAGCGCAATTTTGGTAGGAATCGGAAGGAAATTTCACAATCTGCGAAGAGAAGCAATCGCTCCAAACATCTTCCGGCTCAGTTCACTCACTTGCGGATCCCATGACAGGTTGATCAATAAGTAAACCCAGATTTTTAACTTTTTCCTGAAAAGGAATCTGAACACCATCTAGCAATATTTCTGGTATTTGTATAGTTTTAATATTTGACAACATCCTTTGACTGCCAATAATAATTGCCTGCGATTTCGTTGCGTTTAAGTTAAGGTCGTACGATTTACCCCATGTAGCTATAGAGGAGAGGTCTTTGTTAATATTTTCTATTGTTTGTGGTAAATCAGCCACAGATGTCACGGCATAAATTTGCAAATCGTCTGCATATAGGTGGTAGTGAGAAGAAATTTGGAGACAAATAGTGTTAATAAAAACTGAAAATAAGAGAGGAGACAACACGCCACCTTGTGGAACACCGGCAGTAACTTTGCACCAATCGGAGTAAGAATCTTCAATCCGAACTCGTTGCCGGCGATCGCACAAGTAAGAACGAAACCAGTCAACGACCTCAGGAGATATGTTTAGAGAAGATATAATGGCAAGCAAGATGTCAAAGTCCACCGTATTAAAAGCATTACTAAAATCTAGTAGAACCATCACAGTAAGTCTTTGATGGTCCATACTTTTCCTGATATCATCTGTTATTTTGACTAAAGCCGTAGTTGTACTATGATTAGGACGGAAACCAGATTGAAAGGAATTTAAAAGATTATGTTTGTAGAGGAAAGCACTCAATTGCTGGTGAACCAATCGTTCGAGTACTTTTGACAGAAAAGGAAGAATAGAAATAGGACGATAATCAGAAAAAGAAGATGGACTAGATATTTTAGGAAGAGGAAAGATTTGCCCATCTTTCCAGGAAGAAGGAAACCTTGTTCCGCAAATCCTCCTGTATTTTTCATGTTAATTATAAGTAATTGTTATTTTTGAGATCAAACCTTGCTCATTATAACTTTGTTGTTAAGCTGATATCTCCGTATGAAATTTTTCGGTCTTATCTTTATTCTTAGAATAGGAATATAGAGTACTTATGAACATAGAGACTTCGTTTAATAAAATTAAATATTGAATTGATTTAAAGAAATACATAAATGTATTAAATTGTTACATAATTAAATATATAATAATAAGTTTACATTTAAAGGAAATTAATAAATACTTAAATGATTTTACAATATTATTTTATAACTTTTAGAAATTTTGTATTGTATTGTATTCAGCCCTTTTTAATGTCCTACTGCTGGGCAAGGGCCTCCCTTTTAGATATTTTAGAAATTTTACTTTAACAAAATTTCTTTTAATTTTTTAAAGTTTAGTTCTTTTAAATTGTTTTTATTGTGTGTGTGTGTGTGTGTGTGTTTTATTATAAAATTTTCATTTTATAACATTTTTCATTGTGTGATTTTTTGTAAAAGTTTCTTATTATTTAAAGTCCATATTTAAAGCCAGTTGCATCCTCTAATCATTTCATTACTCTATCTTCATGGCAACCACAACCGTATCATCAATACTAAAAGAAATTATAGATTTAATTCCTCTGTACAGTGGTGATAAAAGACAGCTATATCTTTATTTAAGAGATGATGCAGCTGCGCTCTTGTCTGAACGAGAGGACATTGTTACATGGTCCACATTAAAAGCCTTGTTAATCCAACATTTTGGAGACCCTCGCAGTGAAGAGTGCATTAATATCGAGTTAGAATCTTTAAAAATTAATCCAGGTGAATCTTTTCTTAGTTTTTGCTAAAAGCATATAAGGTGTTCGGTCGCTATTAATTTCAAAGGTGATTTCCATTCATAATTCAGATTTAAAATTTGCGAATTCAATTATCTATAGACTATAGTAATACAGCTCTAAACGTGTTTTTATATAACCTCCCGGAAAATGTAGTGTAATAAAAATAATAACTGGTAATCTGGATCACGATGATGTGGTTAAGTACGACGGACTTATCCCTAATTTAAATCATAACCAAATTATTATTTCAAAGAAACTGACAATAGTCTCTAAAATGTTTGATAGTTTCATTAATGTAACTGAAACCATGAACCAGAACTCTGTTTGCTTTCATAATCGTTTATATCATTTAAATTTAATTTTTAATTCTGTAAGCTTGGTATATCCACCAACAGAAACAAATTTATTAAAAAAAATAGAGGAAAGCATTTGCACAAAATTATATATTAAAGACAATCAGATGACATTTATAATGGAAATACCAATTACAGATAACGTATAATTATTTTAAGATATATTCATTAGCAATTTGTCATGAACCTGAAAACAAAACTCTAGCCATATTCCTAAATATCCTTACCTTTTGGCGAAATGATTAAAGTACTTACCACTTGTTAAATCATGACGTTCATTGTCAAACAGCGATCAATTCCTATGCACTGCAGACAATCGAGCTTTATATTATGAACGTACCTGTATAGAACAGCTCATGACGACCTGACTCCCATAAGCAGCATCATGTCCAGATCGATGAAGTTAAGATTAAGCAGGTCAATTCAGTTGGCTGGCTCCTCTACAGTACAAAACACTGACCAAGCAACGCGGCCATGAGGTCAGTAAGCAATTTCTATTTGGCACTTACCTGACTGATGACTATCGATGAAATCTGTGACCTGGAAATTCATGGAGTTCGCTTCCACCATAGAACTAATAAAATCTAATAGAATCAAATGTCATTAAAAAGATTTCAATTATAACACTACCCCAATTCAAAACGCATATGACACTATTTTTTTTTTTCTTTTTTTTTTTTTTTTTAACGTTGGGAAATGCATTTACGCACGAGGTGTGGGACTCACCGGCAAAGCCAGTACTACCCACTAAAACCCAACAAAACCTTCCCCCGTCATAATGGGGCGTCGCAGGATCGCTTACGCATTCAACTACGACGCCCCGACGGCAGGTCTGCCGAGGCAAACCACAACGACCATGGGGTTGCTCCACAGTCCACTCTGCTATTAGAGAAGTACCAGGAGCAACCCGCATGGTACACTGCCCTCCGAAGAGGGCCACCTCCTACCGCCCACCGAAGTAGGCCACCTCCAAGTGCGTTTCTTGGCTTCGCGCCCGGTTGGGTTGCCGGGCACTACTGAGCCCCCCCACCACGACAAGGTGAACGCACGTTGGGGGGGCATATGACTCTATCTAGCGCAAGTGTACTCAACATGAAAGGAATTAGTTTAGATAAAGTGAAATATATGGCCTTTTCGTTAAAACATAGTGCGGTAATTGAAAGTGCTTTAAATAATAAGAAGGACAATAAATTAAGTGAAATCTTAGGTTACGTAACATTTGCGTTAATAATTTTAAGTCTTTTTTTCTTAATAATTTATATAATTTGGCTAAAATCGCCAATATGTTTATCATTAAAGCAAAATTATCGGAAAGAATCTTAAATCGATCCTTCCGATAATTTTCCTCTTAGGGATGCAGGAGTTATGGTTACACCTCGTCCATCCGTTCTAGATTAAGATTTACTTAGAATAAGAGAGACGCAAACTTAGCGTCTGGTCGGCCCACCCGGCATCCGCCGGCCGAGTATGATTTCAGACATTAAAGGAGCCTCAAATCGGCTACATGTCTCACATTTAGTTTTATTTTTTTTCTCAAATTAATTTTAAGTTAGTATAAAAAGTTTTCAAAACGCTCCGAAACCAAAAGTATCTACATGATCAAATCAAGTTTTTATTGCTACTGCATTCCACCAATTAAACTTAATGCTTGTTAAGAGTCGGTATCAAACGCTGCGCTTTTTCTTAATTGAATAATAATTATTCTCTTAAGACGAATAATTTTAAATGTTACAGTGATATGTTTAGAAAATAATCAGTAAATTCAATATAAATTTTAGCGTATACAATAGTAGTCTATAAATTAAATATTTATAAAAACCCCTACGCAAATTAATTGTCATTTAACGATTACACTGGTACGCGTGAAGCTCTTAATCGAGTAATCATATTACAAAATGCCTTACATCATTTTGGAAAAGAGCTGATACTCTAACACTGCTGGGCCGATATTAACCAAACATAGCTAAGAGCCACCGCAAGGAAACTGGGTTTCAAATGAAAAAAACTGCATCGACATCGGCCATCCGTTTGAGAGCTACGATGCCACAGACAGACACCCACACATACACACAGACAAACAGACATTGACGTCAAATTTATAACACCCCTCTTTTTGCGTCGGGGGTTAAAAAGAAGACTGTGTAGGTATGCTTTTTTAAGCATATTATTAGTTATGCTTATAGAGGAGTACGATCTTTGATACCTATAGTTAAAGTTTATGTCAAGAAGATCCACAGAAAGCAAAAAATTCTCCTCTTCTAAAAGCTACAGCTTGAGATTAGATAGCGTAACTTTGTCAAGAGAACCTCAATAACGTTCTAAGTTATTGATTTTAAGATTTGACGACATTTTTGGCTCAGTTTCTTGTGTACTTGCCGTGAAAGCGGTCGCGGGTTCAAGTCCCACTGGGGGCATTCATTTGAGTAATGAGCAAGAATGTTTGTACTCCAGTCATGGTTGTTTATATTTATAATATGTATGAATTTATATTATATATATTTTATATTTAAGTTATATATGTGTAGTGTATCAACTATCTGGTATCCATAACACAAGTCTCGTAGCTTACCATGGAACTAGATGATGCTGTGTGATAATGTCCCAACTATATTATATTATTATTATATATAAATAATATTTACTTACAGGGAAAACAAACCAAACATCAAAAATCCTATCAACGCCAGCCATTTCAGGTGAGGGGGTCTAAGTAGCGCGAATGTAGGTCCTTTCCTGAGTTTGTCTCTGAACGAACAATTTCCATTCTCAGTTTGTGTCTCGCTGTGTTCCATATAATTTTTTAATGACGTTACCTGAATTTTAAAATATATTTATTAAGTAACATAAATATTTACTTAATGTATTATTATACAAAATGTGACTGTGCTCAAAGGTTTTATAAGTCAATTTTTCCCATAAATAAAACAGTAAAAGTAACAACTGAGTTCATTTTCCACTTTTCACTAGTATTACGATTACCACACCGAGTCTTGTCTTAGCCAAAACCTTTACGGATTTTCAAAGTTTTAAAATGTGTTTTATTCATAAACGAATACAGTATTTTTTAAAAGAGGAAAACACCACTTATTTAAACAACTAGTTATATATACATATTAATTTCATAAGATAAGGGACTTTCTTTATTCTAGCTAACCTTAAAATATACTTACGCAATAATTTTCTTTCGAACACCCATTATTCATTGAGTAAATATGTTTTAAGACTTCCAGAGCTTTTTCAGGTTTGTTCTTTGCTATTAAGAACTTTGGACTTTCTTGAGCTTGTGTCAGCCAGAGAGCGGCGAGTATGAGAGGGGAAGCGTATACAGCTGTAAGTACTCTCCAGGGTCTGAGAGATATGGCGTCGTGCCAATCGTAAGCAAGCACGCCCCATGCGAGTACTATAATAAAGTTTTCAAAAATATTGTACATGGTCAGAATAGTGAGAAAGGTAAAAAAGTATTCTATATCTTATTTTGGACATTATTGAAAAATTATCTCAATAAATACAGGTGTTTGCCACTAAGTAGTTGGCGTAAAAGTCTAGATGCAATATCCCTAAAAGGCTAATTTTTTAACTTGTCTAAAGTTTATATAAGCCAATTTCGTTGTAAGTTTCGGTGTTACCTGAAAAATACTATTAGTGGACTGTTTAACTTAAACTATATTTTATGATAAATTATAAGAATAATCAATGTATCAATTAGTGTATTTTATTATTTATGACTAAAATAGAAAGTAATCTATATGTTGTATATAGGATTTGTGCTAAGTCGCACCCCCCCCCCCCCTCCCCACACCTCGTGCCTAAATACAATTCCAACGTTAAAAAAAGGTTTTGTGCTAAGTCCATTCCGTTTTCAACACTGTGGAGCTATTTCGTTTTTAAAAATGTAACAAATGCGCAACCACTCCCAATCTTTCACAGGATACATACACTAATCTTACTAAGCTTGTTACTCAATTTACTCAATCATGTCAAGATGTTTGTTACTCAATTACGCTAGAACGGCTCAACGGATCTGGATTAAAATTGGTACAGACATAGATTATTCTCTGGAATAGCGTAAAGGCTACTTTATCCCGCAAAAATGTACGATTTCCGTGGGATAGATTTGTTTTTGTTTTCGAAATGAGTGTGAGCCGCTAGTCTATACTAATATTATAAAGAGGTAAAGTTTGTGAGTTTGTGAGGCTGTGAGTTTGTGACGTTGTAGGGGGTAATCTCTGAATCGACTGAACCGATTTAGATGAAATTTGGTAATAGTTTGAGACCCTGGGAAGGATATAGACTACTTTTATCTCGGAAATCATCCCTTAAGAGGGTGAAAATGGGGATGAAAGTTTGTATTGGGAATCAAGGTAGGGACGAACTCAAGCGAATCGAGGTAAAGGCTTTAGTAAATGTATAAAAGTGTAAAGTACTTTAATGAAACATTTACTACATATCTTTCATGCATTACTTACTTGGACACAATGAAGCAAAAAGCATGAGTAGAGCATTACATATTAAAAGGGCTAGATCTCTACTTTTTTGCGGCATTAACTCCCCAGTGTATGCAAAACCAAGCGAAGATGGACAGGATAAGCTGAAAAATGAAATTGTAAGCTTCGTAGTTACGTAGTCGGGATTTTTCTTTTTTTTACAGCTTTTTACTTTTGGCCAGTTAAACATTTGGAGTTTTATTTAACAATTTTATTTCATATCCCAAATGATTTTTAAATATATTACTTGGATAATTTTTGTGATCGCCGCTTAAAAACCATTATTTTGATATCCCAATCCATAGGTTTGAAAGAAAAAAAATTAAGGACATAAACTGACACCTGAAATCTGAAATTGATTCTGAAGAATCCAAATATCGCTGTTATGTTAGAGTTCATTAATATTTGTTGGGTTAATGTGATAAGCCATTTATCGTGGTCATTATTGCAAATAAAAAATAAAACTAGTAGCAACTACAAGTGTTTATTTTAATTTAACACCAAAATGCTCTAAGTTCAGCTGGTACGGTCCAAGTTACATCGAGCCTGCCTTTTTTTTCTAACGGCTTTTGTTTCTCGCTGTATTTATTATCCACAGATTTTATTAATGCATTATATAGTTAAATAATTGTTCTTTCCATATATGCATGTTTTTCAGGTCTAATTATTTACTAAAATCGAAAATTTAAAAAACTGTCCTAGGTATAACAGGTTCCCCTACATATTATATAGATACACACGCACACACATACATATGATCATACAAAACAATTCTGTGACTCAAATAAAGCATTGAAAAAAATCGTGAAAATAGATTCACAATTATCAGATATCGCGTAACATTTTTTTATGAAGTCAAAATTAACATGATTTAATTTAATGTGGAATACGTTTAATACTTACAAAAGAGAGCCAGCAAATTTGACCAACGCAAAACTGAGTAGACCCGGCATGAAAGCAGCAAACAAGCCGATAACTCCAGAGGCTGCAGTAGAGAAGAGTAGGACTGGCTTCCTTCCCAAAGCATCGGCAGCTCGACCCCAGAACGGTGCTGTTATTATAACTCCTAGAACGTAAGTATAATATGATTTAAAAATAAAGTTATGAGTTTAAAAAGTTGAAGAACTTGTTTGTCTAAGTAACTAATACGGAATAACTAGGAGAAGGGACGTTTTCATAAGAAAATACACCTAATTACTTTAAAAGCAGAACCTTATATTAATACACATTAGCTAAGCCGTTTCTGATATTAGCGCGCACAAACGCACAGACAAACAGACAAAAAATCTATAAATCATTGTTTTGGGTTCCATTGCGTTAATAAAGATAATTTAACAGAAATTCTTAATCATCTTACATGTACAGATAGCGATCAGTTACGCTTCTATTATATGTATAGATATAGGTAATAGTTGAATTTGGTATCTCAGTTATATTTTGAGTATTTAGACAATAGACAAATCGTAATTTTTACCCACGACTACGCTCGCAATCTGGTTATATCGGATAGATACACAATCAAATCTCAATATGTATGTATGTATATATATATATATATATATATATATATATATATATATATATATATATATATATATATATATATATATATATATATATAATATGATCGAGGTATTACTTTTAGTCAGCGACTACTACATTAGGTATAATAAGTAAGTATTATTGACTTATCTTTTAATTCAAACTATAACTCAACTAGTCCGTACATTAAAAAAAGTTTCGAGGTGTTTACGGTCAATGTGCAAATGATAAATACACTATTGTATAGGTACATTGTTTTTTTATCAATGTATTAACCTATATTAGGGATAGACGTAATGACGCCCCGCAAATTATCGGAAAGATCGAGGTCACAAGCAGCAGCTGGTAGAATGAAAGAATATCCAATAATTTCCAAAATAGAAGCACCGAGGATGGCCACCATGAGAGCACAATGAAAAACTTGATATTTTCCAGCGCCTAAAACAATAAAATAAAAATTTACTTTCATAAAAATTGCTATTTGTACTGTGCAGGAGCTTTAAGCACAAATACTAACAAACGTTAATAGAAAAGCATATTAATTACATCAAAATATCAATTTAAAGAAACATAAACTTACCACAAATTTCTAACGCTCTTTCTAAATCAACTTCCATGTTTCCCTTCACCTCGTGTACTATGATCTTACTGAGAGGCAATTCGTCTTTTTCTATTTTCATTATGCTGTAAATTTTTAAAACTATATTTTAGCTTTATATTGTTATAAAAATAAATATATTAATATTTGTTTATGATGATCAAGAACGGTCTTCAGGAGCAGTCCGCTTCAGAACGAACCCGTTACGTATATGTAATGACTTATCACTACACTGTATTTTACGATACAATAATTTTATTGTAATAAAGTGTATCTAAGAAAGGTTGAGGGCATACTGTTAATTTATGCAAACAAATTATTAATAGACAATCTCCCGAAGACTAAAGATTTAACTTACAATATTCTAAGGAAATAAAGACGGAACCTACGACCTATCAAGTGTTAATCTTATTCCCAATATCTCGTACAAGGCCTAGCAGTGTAAATTATGTTATCAATATCTTAATTATTACTTTGAAATAAGCAAAATAATACTACTGTGACGCAATATCATTTTTATTTGTTGTATTCATTTTTAACCGGTTATATTTCGATTCGGTCTTTTCCATTTTTAAGTAACTTTCTCATGAGCTTGAGAAAAGTATGGAAATAACATGGCTTAGAACAGTGTTTTAAGCATACAAACGGATATATGTATATATACGTATGTAAATGATAGAAGGCATAAAAATGGAAAGTAAAAATTAAAATAAACATATTAATATCACATTTTAAAGACAAACAAACAAGTGTAAAATTTGAATGAAAACGGGGCTAGCAAAAATGAAAAAATACTTTCTACTTATAATAATCGAAAACTGCGAAAATATAACAAAATGCAATAACACATTCTTTAAGCTAGGTACTATAATTATTCTAAAACCAATATAAGCATTTTATGACTTACTAGCGACTGACCCTCGCATCGCTCGGATTCGTCCCTAGGTTGATTCTCTATACAAATTGCATCCCCATTTTCACGCCCTTGGATGATTTCCGGGATAAAAACTATCCTATGTCCTTCCCAAGGTCTCAAACTATATTCTTACCAAATTTCATCTAAATCGGTTCTGTAGTTTCAGAGCTTATTCGGTACAAACAAACAAAAAAAACAAATTTTTCCTCTTTGTAATATTAGTATAGAAAAATACTGAAGATGCTTAGTTTTCTTTCATTTTTCATTCATGTTATGAAAATATTATAGATGGGTCAGTAAATGATGGAAATTGAATGTCAAAAAGTCATTTCATTATTGTTTTTTTTTAATTAAAATATAATACACTTTAAGATCTATTTGTTTATTAGTGAATAATAGAATTATCCGTAAGAAAATAATATCAAGTACTGGACACATACTAAAACTTTTTGAATTCAAATTAATAAGGACAAAATGCCAATTTCGAGTAAACACAAATGAATATAGTACTAAAAAAGTGTTGTTTAAAATTTAAATGTAATAGAATATTTACCGTAAATCAAAGATTGCCCACTAACTACCCCTCGCTTCACTTAGTGTTTATTTATGACTCACCCTTCCTTATCTATACTGTATACATATAATAAAATTCTAACTAAGAGGAACTGTACATTAAATATTTATTGGAAATTTTTATTGCAATAGAAATTATTATCGATACAGAGGCCGAATCGTCGTTTTTAGAATTTTTGTCTGTCTGTTTGTCTGTGATCGCATCACGAAAATACCACCGGAGGGATTTTGATCTTTGGTATGATGATAACTGATTATCCGGATCAACATATAGGATACTTTTTACTGCGGGAAAACATTTCACCTCTGAGCTACACGTTAAAACATAACTAGGGACGAACCCGAGCGGAGTGAAGATGAGTCGCTAGTAGTTAATAAAAGAGATATAAGAAAAACCAAACATTTAACAAAGCTACATTAAAAATACCTTATGACACTCTTGGGCTATACTATCTCTATGCAAATGTTCGTATATACCTACTTCTTGATGAAATAACAATTAAATGGAAACACTTTCGCATTTATTATAAGAATTAAACAGTAAGGAAGTCTTACAACACTAATAATGAAAATAGATTTAAATATTTCTACTAAAATAAGTATAACATGACATGTCTTAAAAGTTGTAGGTACGAGTATGTTGCAACATTATACTAAGTGTTAACTAAATAGTAACCCTATTATGGAGTGGGGTATTCCAAATCAACATAAGCGTTTAATACGATAATAGTTTGAATAAATATTTTTGATGGGATATTCGAACCGCATGACCGCAAGATCGATCGATCGAACGGACAAATGTTCATACATATATTATGTTCATAACAAATGCTGTGATAAGGTTAAAAACACTTGAGAGCTCAGATTTCATGGTTTTTTATTCGATACGTAGAAAACAGAGATTTCTTTCTTTCCGATTTTTTTATTTTTAGTTTAGATTAATAACTTTTTCTGTAAAATAACTATATTCTATAAAAAGCTCCAGTTACTAACTAAGGTTTCAATGCTCACCGGGATCGAATGGAATAAAAAAATTTGCTCAGGACACTGTCTGTTAGGCCAGCTAGTTTTCAAGCAAAAATGTTGTTATAGAATATTTCCCTTTCAATTTTTTATCTTATAAACATAGTGTGATTGGTAGAGGCAAATGAACTTAGAAAATACTTTTGTTTTTCGACATCATTGTTATTGTTCTACATGTTTCTTTCGTGACATATGTACTAGTACCTAATACTGTGCAAAGAAAGCTAAGCTTAATTTATTATATTACATTTTTCAATTTATAATCATTCGTAATATTTTTTAATTAATTTCCATAAAAAGTAAGAGTTTCTCAATGAAAGTTACAAATATTTTTATTATTTAATAAAATTATTCTAATTAACTTTAGACTAAACTTTTTCTGAATAGATGAGAATTAATTTTTGTAATATTTACGAATTCATGTAAAGAAAAAAAACTGTATTTTCTTTACGTTAATACGGAAAATCGATTTAAATTTTGGTACTTTGATTGATATATGTAGTTACTTTGAACTTTCTATTATATTATTTTTTTTATATTGCAGTTTTATTTCGTTTATTTTTACTGTTCTTTTATTTTATCTGTTTACTGTTAGGTACTGTTTGTGTTTTCGTTTATTTTATCTGTTCAAGGTCCAACATAATTAAAATCTATACAAAATAAACAAAGACAAAACAGTCAACCTATAAAAAAATTGATTGAAAAATAGAGGCAAATTCCTCTAGGTATTTCCGAACTTGTCAACCGATTTTTTTTTTCAATAAAAATATTAGGTACTAGGGAGTCACCCTTTTTTTTTTTTTTTTTTAACGTTGGGAAATGCATTTACGCACGACGTGTGGGACTCACCGGCGTAATACAGCCAGTACTACCCACTAAAACCCAACAAAACCTTCCCCCGTCTTAATGGGGCGTCGCAGGATCGCTTACGCATTCAACTACGACGCCCCGACGGCAGGTCCGCCGAAGCAGACCACCACAACCATGGGGTTGCTCCACAGTCCACTCTGCTATCAGAGAAGTACCAGGAGCAACCCGCATGGTACACCGCCCCTCGAAGAGGGCCACCTCCCACCGCCCACCGAAGTGGGCAACCTCCCTGTGCGTTTCTTGGCTTCGCGCCCGGTTGGATTGCCGGGCACTACTGAGCCCCCCCACCACGACAAGGTGAACGCACGTTGAGGGGGACTAGGGACTCACCCTCGCCTAGCTCGGGTTCGTCCCTAGTAGGTTTGGTATAGATTTCATAGAGATGAGATATTTTCCTGCAGTAAAATAAAATATCCTATTATGAATATTATCCCTTAAAGACTATATATTTAGCTCCTGCGTCGATAATAATGATTATTTCAATAAGATTTTCCAAAAAATATTTAATGTACAGATTCGACACATCTAAAATTTTATTATATTTATACATCAAAGTCGAATTTCGGGTCGAATTTCAACCTTTAGGTAATTTATAATTATAATAAATATACTTTTTAAGAAATCTTTATTTTTAATTATTTTTTAATATACAGGAACTGTTGAGGAATGAATGAATCCTTTTAAATATATATATACAAAATACTCTACTTATATAAAATTAAGAATTCCAAAAAACAATGTTTATGGCGCTGTTTCTAGAAACTGTAAAAAAATAAAATCTAACGTTGACAAAATATGAAACATCTAAAAGTATTGTTAAAAATGGACTCTTTTATGTTTGAGTTATTTGGTATCTTTTGTATTTTTGACCGATTTTGAAAAGGGAGAGGCACTGAATTCAGCTGTATTTTTTTTATTTTTCATTTATACATCAAGGATTCTTATATTTTAAAAAAGAAGTTCTATCCCTAGTTATAGAATAATTAATTTTAAGTGATGATGCAGATGTGTTTATTTATTTATATTGGATACTGATTTTGATGAATTGAATTTTGATAAAATTTTACAGTAATACCTTATAAATCAGAGTATCATATAAACAATAATACTAATTTATTTAGGTTTAGTGAAAATTTAGGTTTGTATGTATTTTTTAATGCCGAAAAATAAAAAATATTAATAGAAAAAGAAATGTCCAAAAAATAAAAATAAAATTGGGTGGACCAACCAACAAACAAAGGGTACGAAAAAAGTTTACGTCCTATTCTCTACTGAACGTACACACACATAACAATCGATCAAGCCGTTTCGGAGGAGTTTTGTTACAGACACTGTGACACGAGAATTTTATACATACGAGTATATAAGATAGTAAATACGCAATTGAAATACGCAGGCGGTTCCACGGGAAACACTAGTTATTTATAATTACGAATAAATCATTAATTTTATATCTTACCTTACTTAAATATTTTTTAACACAAATTATCGACCCTCAATAGACCAATTGACACTATATTATGAACAGTACAGTTACACTTAACCTTAGCGGTCCACACTTTAGATATCTATAAGTTTGTACGTTGCTCTTCCCGATTCCATTATCGCCGTTTCACTTGGACTTATGAATCGATGTAAAAGCTAAGACGACATCGTAAAAATATATACTTAACTAAAGTGTTAATTTCGTATTTTCTTCT